GATTGTGTTATCTGTATTGTGACCATAAGATCAACCATTGTGTTTTGCATACATATTACTTGAAAAGTATATTTTTATTTTTAAAAGAATGGTGATGAAGCTTGACTAAGTTGCTTCTAAATCAGTCATTCTAATGTCACTATGACTATGTGTTTTCCTATCACTGTAGGCTATTCACATGAACCAATGATAATATAAAACCTTTGGATTCAGTAGTGTTCATGGTAGATGGTTTTGAATAGATATGTCAGCAATTTTATAGGAAGTACACAATAAAAATAAGTAGAGTAGGCTGAATATTTATTTTCAAGTAATATTGATATATTAGAAACAATATAGAGAACATTTTTTGTTTTTTTCATTTTTAGAACTCATATTGATTTGATTCAGTGATTTTCTTAGGATTGTCTTCTGTTAAAAATCAGTCCTAAAGAAATATGTATTTAACCTAATTAAACTTAAATGGTAAGTGTAATAATAAAACAGTGTTAGTTAAGAAATATCGTAGTATATTTACTTAAGATTCATAGAGCTGGAGAGATGACTCAGCAGTTAAAGCAGTGGCTGTTCTTGCAGAAAATCCGGGTTTGAATCCTATCACCCTCAGGGTGGGTAACAACCATCTGTAACTCCATTTTCAGGGGATCTAATCTATCTTCGATCCTTTGTGGGCACTGCACAACCTGGGTGCACTTACACACATTTAGGCATAACACACTCATACACAAAATAAAAATAAAATTTTAAAAAGATTCAACTTAGTATATTGGATTTTGAAAGAAAAACTTTCATTCTTTCCTTCTCCTTTCAGCTATTACATGGTACAAAGATAACCATCCACTCTCAGGTTCCACGGGTGTAAACTTCCTGAACAGAGGACAGATCATTGATATTGAAAGTGCCCAGATTTCTGATGCTGGCATATATAAATGTGTGGCCATCAACTCTGCTGGAGCTACAGAACTATTTTACAACCTACAAGTTCATGGTAAATGTTGCATCTTCCATATTAACCCTGGGCTAAGAAAGCATGCAAAATGATTAACCCCTCTATAAAATTCCAGTTTGAACATTTAACAGAGTGTATTATTGATATCTTTATTTGTAGACCTGGTATTATTCTTGACTCATTAAAATGCCCAATTTTCACACAGTGGTGAACTTAAATTCAGCTTTTTATTAATTGCTGAATGTCATAGGCATTAAAGAAATGTGTCCAAGTAACTATCTCTAAGAAGACTTTTTAAAGAGAAGTTGGCAATTAAAATACTTTAATGGGTACAATAGAGAAGAACACACACACACACACACACACACACACACACACACACACACACAGAGCGCCTGGATATCAATAATTTAAAAGACA